GCTCCACACTCAATGCCAAGCCTGATGTAGGGCTCGATTCCACGACCTTGGGATCATGACCTGAGCAGAAGTCAGAGGCCCAACTGACTGAGCCACCCCAGCGCCCCCCAGTTCTTGTCAGCTTCTTCAAACATATTACAGGTAACATTTCAGCGGGGCTCATACTCCAACCAGCACCGTGACAGAGGCCATGACACCTTCCCATTATGAGGATCATCAGTCGTGGGCTGGACTTTGTGACCTGCTTCCCAAGAACCAGACATGGAGGGGGAAATACAGTGACTGTATGATGAAGAAACATAGCAGACACTACTTGTGTTAGGATTCTCTCGAGAGACCTAATAGGAGATAATCAATCTCTCTTTCTCTCTGTCTCTCTCTTTCGCTAATGTGTGGGTCCTTATAAGGAATTGGCTCATGTGATTACGGAGGCTGAGAAGTCCCATGACGGGCCGTCCACAAGCTGCAGATGCAAGAGGGGCAGTTCTAAGTTCTGAGAGCCCGAGAGCTGACGGTATAGATTCAACTCTGAGTCCAAAGGCCCGAGAGCCAGAAGGGCAAGGGCAGAAGATGGATGTCCCCGCTCGAGCAGTCGGACAGAGAGGGGACTGGACCATTCCTCTGAGTTTCTGTTCTATTCAGGCTCTCCACGGGCTGGGTGACGCCCACCCATGGTGGGGAGGGCCACCTGCTTTGCTCTGCCCGGCAATTCAAGTGCTAATCTCTTCCTGAAACACCCTCACGGACACCCCCAGAAATAATGGGCATTCCGTGGCCCGGTCAGGTCGACACATAAAGTTAACCATCACACCACCTTGACCAAGAGACCGAGGTGAGCCCCACCAGCGACGGGTCACGGTGATGTCGTGCGCCCCGATACGATGTGATGGGGTGGGGAGGTGCATCTCACCTCTGTGGTCTTCTTTCCAAAAGTCCAGTCCAAACAGGAGGTGAAACCTCAGAGAAACCCAGATTGACAGAGACTCGATATAAGGCCTGACCAGTCCTCTTCTAAACTGTCAAGGTCATGGAACACAAGGGAAGACTGGGAAGCTGTCACAGATGAGAGGCGCCTAAGGAGACCTGAAGACCGGAAGGAATGTGGTGCCACCTGTGGACCTTGGACAGAGAAAGGACAAGCGTGCGAGTCTTGATCTCAAGGTTGTGAGTTTGAGCCCCAAACTGGGTGTAGAGATCACTTAAAAATAGTAAAATCTTGGGGCGCCTGGGTGGCTCAGTCGGTTAGGCGTCCGACTTCAGCTCAGGTCACGATCTCACGGTCCGTGAGCTCGAGCCCCGCGTCGGGCTCTGGGCTGATGATGGCCCAGAGCCTGGAGCCTGCTTCCGATTCTGTGTCTCCCTCTCTCTCTGACCCTCCCCCGTTCATGCTCTGTCTCTCTCTGTCTCAAAAATAAATAAACGTTTAAAAAAAAAAAAAAAAAAAGAAAAAAAAATAGTAAAATCTTGGGGCACCTGGGGGGCTCAGTCAGTTAAGTATCTGACTTCGGCTCAGGTCCTGATCTCGCAGTTCGTGAGTTCGAGCCCCACATCGGGCTCTGTGCTGACAGCTCGGAGCCTGGAGCCTGCTTTGGATTCTGTGTCTCCCCCTCTCTCTGTCCCATTCCCACTCACACTCTATCCCTCTCTGTCTCTCAAAAAATAAATAAATGTTAAAAAAAATTAAAAAACAATAACATGTTAAACAAAACAAAACAAAACAATGCTGATGAAAATCGAGGAAAGTATGGAGCTGGCTAGTAGTGACGTACCAATACTGATCAATCAATCTGGACAAATGTGCCGTAGTTAGGTAAGTGATAGGTGAGGGGCACGTGGGAGATCTCTCACTCTGCAACTTTTCCGTACATCTTTAAAGTATTTCTAAACAGGGGTACCTGGGTGGCTCAGTCGGTTGAGCGTCTGACTTTTGAGTTCGGCTCAGGTCATTTCCCAGGGCCGTGAGATTGAGCCCCCGCGTCAGGCTCTGGTCTGAGCCTACTTGGGATTCTCTCTCCCTCTGCCCCTTATCCCTGCTTGCGCGTGCACGCTCTCTCTCAAAATAAAAATAAAAACGAAGTATTCCTAAATAAAAGTGTATTATATAAAAAATCAGGGGCGCCTGACTGGCTCAGTTGATGGAGCATGTGACTCTTGGATCTCAGAGTTGTGAGTTTGAGCCTCACATTGGCGGTAGAGATTGCCTAAAAATAAAATCTTTTAAAATAATTTTTTAAAAGTTTATTTTACTTATTTTGAGAGAGAGAGAGAGAGAGAGAGAGAGAGAGAGCGAGAGCAAGCACATGGGAGGGACAGAGAGAGAAGGAGAGAGAGAATCCCAAGCAGGCTCTGCACTGTCAGCACAGAGCCCAAGGTGGGGTTCAAACTCATGAACCGTGAGATCATGACGTGAGCCGAAATCAAGAGTCAGAGGTTCATCCAACTGAGCCACCCAGGCACCCCTTAAAAATAAAATCTTAATAACAACAACAACAACAACAACAACAACACAACTCTCCTTGATTTCCATAGGGTTAGGTGAAGGATGGGTGGGGAGTAATTTTGTTTAATGAGGACAGAGTTTCGATTGAGGAAGACGGAAAACTCTGGAGAGGGACAGTGACCACAGCAGCACATCAATGCGGTTGCATTTCATGCCCTTGAACTGTGCGCTTAAAAGTGGTGAAACCAGTAAATTTTGTGATCTTTATATACCTTATCACAATATGAAAAATACTCTTGATTTTTTTTTTCCCCAAGAAAACCTCACGGCTCACATCCAACCCATCGCTAAGTCCTGTCAACTCCACAGACCCTTCTGGAGCCATCACTTCTCCCCACCTCCACCATTTCCAGCCTAGTCCACTCCCGTTGGAACCACTCCCCCAAACGATTCCTTCACTCAGAACATTCCAGTGGCTTCCCAGAGCACTGAGGAGAGAAGCCCAGAGCTCTACATGATCTGGCCACCTGGTGCCTTGTTAATCTTACCTCTGGCCACCTCTCCTTTCCTCCCCCTGCTGCAGGGTTACTGGACTTCTTGATGCTCCTCCAAAATACCACACCTGTTTCCACCTCGGGGCCTTTGCACAAGATGTTCTCACCGAGCACTCTGCCGCTGGATACCGGCCTGGCCTACTTCTTCACTTCATCCACGTCTTTCCATAAAAGGCAACTGCCCACAGAATCTCCCCCAGATCACCCCGCCATAACCGCTTGTTCTCGCTCCAAGTGTTTCCTGACCCTCTGTTTTTGTTATTTATTATCTTTACCAATATAAACATCCACACGGAATTTGTTTATCATCTGTCTCCCCAAATAGGACATGGGATCGTCTGAGGAGGACCTTATCTGTCTTTTCAAAAAGCTTGTGGCCCCAGTGCCTAAAAAAGGGCCCAGACGTGGAAGGCACTTTATGAACATTTGTCAAGGGAAGGAAGATGGTCAGTTCTTGAGTAAAACATTTCTAGTTTGTTCTTCAAACAGACACTGACGCTTTCTTTTAAAATTTATTCCAAGTTTTTTTAAAAAAGTTTTATCTATCTACCCTCAGATAACCTAAGATAATGTCCCTATCTCAAGATCCTTAACTTAATCACATCTGTAAGGTTCCTTTTGCCAAGTAAGAACATTCACAGGCACTGGGGGTGAGGACACAGACATCTTGGGGGCCATTATTCAGTTTACTTTGGGTTACTTTCAAAATTTCTCTTTACATTTGGTTTTCTAGTTCAAATATGATGGTTCTAGGGGTGTGAGCGCGCGTGTGTGTGCACATGTACGTGTGCATGAGAGAGAGCTTCGTATGTGTTTGGTATTTTGCCAGCTGACCCCGTAATATCCTTTTTCTAAAGTTTTATTTACTTTTAGGTAATCTCTGCACCCAATGTGGGGCTTGAACTTGCGACCTCCAGATCAAGAGTCGCATACTCCTGAGACTGAGACAGCCAGGGGCCCAGACCCAATAACGTTCCTTATAGAGGGGCACTTGGGTGGCTCAGTCTGTTAAGCGTCTGACATTGGCTCAGGTCATGATCTCACAGTTCGTGAGTTCGAGCCCCATGTCCGGCTCTGTGCTGATAGCTCAGAGCCTGGAGCCTGCTCTGGATTCTATGTCTCCCTGTCTCTCTGCCCCTCCCCTACTCATTCTCTGTCTCTGTCTCTCAAAAATAAATAAACATTAAAAAATTTTTTAAAAAGTAGTGTTCTTTATAGAAAAAGAATAAATCTATTTATTTTTTTCCGGTCAAGGATCCAGCCCAGGGTCACAGTTTCTACATGACGTCCTGGCTCTTCAGTTGTCCTTCGATCTGAAATGGTTCTCCAGTCTTTGTCTTTCGTGACATTGACGTTTATTAAAAGTCCAGCCCAGTCATTTTGTAGAATGTCCCTCAATTTGGCTTGCCTGGTGTTTCCCCATTAGATTCGGCATGCGTTTTGGGCAGGAATGGCACAGAAATGGTGAAGCCCCCGCCTGGAGCGTCACGTCGGGAGGCATGGGATGTCGGTCTGTCCCATTACTGCTGATGTCCACTCTGATCGCTTGATTAAAGGGGGTGTTTCTCAGGTTTCTCCACTTTTATTAAGGTGCTGATTTTCCCTTTCTAATTGGTAAGTATCTTGCAATCAGACACTTTGAGGTTATACACGTTTCTCACCATGTTTTTACCTACGAGGTACATTTTGCACATCGGACCTAAATAGACGTGCAGAAATAGCCTATTGGTTCGCTTTTGAATTTAGAGCAGAAACGTTCTCAAACAAGGGAAGAGAGGTGCCTTCATTAAATTTTCAGATCTGGAAAGTTCACATTGACAGAATTACTTGCACCATGTAAGAAGCGGCTTTAAGATCACCTGCCAAGTCCGTGACCTCTACACAGAGGGGTACGGTTACACAGACAGGGTATAGAACTGCGGCCGAGCGTCAGAGTGTGGCCCAGCTCTAGGATTTCGACAGTGGTCCAACTAGGGGACATTGTACAGAACCGCAGACCGCCTCACCATGGACTCCAGAGCGGACACGAGGAACGTCACCACCATCCTGCTCTCTGAGGCCTCCTCGTTCTCCATGGGCAGGGCAGACACCGCCACCTGGGCCATGATCCCTGTCCAAGAGAAGTAACAAGACAGTGAGTGGTAGAAATCCACAGTGACCTCTAAGTACGCATCTAGAGCTGGGACGGTTCTCACAGATGACCTAGCTTCAACCTCCCTTTATGGGTGAAGAAACCGGGGCGCCTGGGGGGCTGAGTCGGTGAAGAGTCCAGCTCTTGATTTTGGCTCTGGTCATGCCCTCATCGTTCGTAAGATCGAGCCCTGCTTCAGGCTCCATGCTGACAGCATGGAGCCTGCTTGGGATTCTCTCTCTTCTCGCTCTCTGCCCCTCTTCCCACCTGTGCTCTCTATCTCAAACTAAATAAATACACACTAAAAATAAAATAAAATAAAATAAAATAAAATAGAATAGAATAAAAAAATAAAATTAAAATAAAATAAAATAAAATAAAATAAAATAAAAATAAAATAAAATAGGGGTGCCTGTGTGGCTCAGTCGGTTAAGCGTCTAACTGGTTCAGGTCACGATCTCGCAGTTTGTGAGAGTTGAGCCCAGCATTCGATTCTGTGCTGACAGCTACAGACACAGGCCTGCTTCAGATTCTGTGTTTCCCTCTCTCTCTCTGCCCCTCCCCTGCTCACGCTCTGTCTCTCTCTCTCAAAAATAAACATTAAGAAAATAATAATAAATAAATTCTCTGAAGACACTTGAGGATGCCTTAATTAGATTTATGTTCTTCCTGAGACAGACCATAGGCTAGCAGAACCATTAGGATGCAAATGTTTTTGGTTAAAACTTTTTATAAATCAGTCTCCCTATTATGAAATAGAATGTGACTTCATACCAGGCATGACCTGGCCACGAGCGACTGAGGAAATATACACACTTCAACTTGAGGCTTGTATTTTTTTTTTTGTTTTTAAATGTTTTTATTTATTTTTGAGAAAGAGAGAGAGAGCACAGCAGGGGAGGGGCAGAGAGAGTGAACGAGACACAGAATCTGAAGGAGGCTCCAGGCTCTGAGGTGTCAGCACAGTGCCTGACACAGGGCTTGAACTCACGAACCGTGAGATCATGACCTGAGCCCAAGTTGGAGGCTCAACCGACTGAGCCACCCAGGCACCCCCAATTTGAAGCTTTTAAATAATGATCCTAAAACCTTTGATTGTCTTCTTGTTATCACACCCATTTTTGAGAACAAGTAGAAGTCTGTAATTATAAACTGTTTATGTGTGGGTGGTTTGTAAAATGAAAAAGGACATGGTGTTCCATGTGCTTAAAATAACCTCCAAGCACAGAGGTCTCTCAATGAAGCAGAGCATAAAGCAATCAAAGTGGGGCACTCATCTCTGAACTCAAACATTGTTTATGTCTGCAGATTTTATTTAGCAAGGAAAAAAAAGGTCAAAATGATCACTCGCAGTTTCCTTTTAAATAAAGGAAAGTTTTTATTTGCGAATTATTTATAATTGCTGTATACTAGATCCTTAGTAGGATTACATTTCACATCTTTGGTTATTAAAGAAGAAAGACCTGTTCGTGTCATTTAAAAAAATTTTTAATTAAGGTATAATTTATGTAAAGTTCATTCTTTTTAGTGTAAGATCTGTAATTTTTTTTTTGAGAGAGAGAGTGCGCATGTACACACATGCAGGGGAGAGGCAGAGAGAGAGGGAGAGAGAGGATCCAAGGCAGGTTCCATGCTGTCAGCAGAGAGCTGGATGCGGGGTTCAAGCTGATGAACTGTGAGATCACGTCCTGAGCTGAAGTCAAATGCTTAACTGGCTGAGCCACCCAGGCGCCCCAAGAGAAGTGGGCTTTTTAAGCTTCATAGGAAAGGACTAAACTGTTTTCCAAAGTGGCTGTACTGTTTTGTGTTCCTATTGCTAATACGTGAGAATTCCAAGGGCTCTGTATCCCATCTGACAGAGTGTTGTCAGCTAAAAAAACAAACAAAACAAAACAAAAAGCTGTAGGGGGGTGGGGGCGGGGGTCAGGCAGTTAAGCATCTGACTCTTGATTTCAACTCAGGTCATGATCTCATGGTTCATGAGGTAGAGCCTCACATTGGGCTCTGCACTGATGGCAAGGAGCCTGCTTGGGATTCTCTCTCCTCTCTCTGCCCCTCTCCTGCTCCCAAATGTGCGCGCTCTCTCTCTCTCAAAATAAATAAATAAATAAACATTAAAAAAAAAAAAAAAAAACAACTTTTCCTACAACAGAGTCCCATCTTATAATGGAAGTAGGTACGTCTAAAGGCAAATTCACCCATGGTCAAAATTATCTTAGGAAGCAATAAATTATCTGTCCCAGAGGGAACATTTCCTTTCTATGAGTTAATTGTTTGGGGAGCTGACTTCTAGCTCTTTATCACCCGATGCAACTTTGCCAACACGACGCACATTTTTTCAAGTCAGTGGTCCTGAAACATGTCAACCACTCAGAGTGACTTTGAGCTGCGTATCAGAAGGCCATTCTTCTTGGGTCGGGGGAGGGTTCCCTTTTCTTTCCGAATTTTGCCATCAATGGCTGTGTCTTCAGAGTTCATGTCTTTCAGCCGTAATTTTAATATTTTCCATCTCTCTAAAATTTTATCACCTATTTGGCTGGTCACCAAGCAGCTACTGGAACACGAAATGCCACTGTTTGATGACTCATATGTTGATGGCAGGAATACTACATTCACTGTGACCATGTCTCTGATCGTAACCCTTCATGGAGTCCCGCCAGCCAGTTTTCCCTGCAGTGTTGACATGGTTTCTTCCATTAATCATCCAGTGAACTAGTTTAGGGGCCACGATGTATGAAAAACACACATTTTTTTAGATATTTTATTTTTAATCAATCTCCACACCAAACTTGGGGCTTGAACTCACAACCCTGAGATCAAGAGTCACACACGTCCCACCGACCAAGCCAGCCAGGTGACCCGAAAAAAACACATTAAAAAATATATTTACTTATTTTTGAGAGAGAGAGAGAGAGACAGAATGAGAGCCCAACAGGCTCCACACTGTCAGCACAGGCCCCGATGCGGGGCTCAAACCCACGAACCACGAGATCATGACCTGAGACGAAACCAAGAGCCGGACGCTTAACCGACAGAGCCACCCCAGGTGCCCCAAAAAACACATTTTAAAACACTGGAATCCCATATGGTGCTTTGAGATGCTCCTGTTGAGAGGCCCCTGAGAACTGAGACCCTTTAAGGGACTGGAATATTCCAGGTTCCTGTGTCCTGCGTGCTCCTAAGTCGGATGTTCCTCCACTGGAACGACAGAAGGTGCCTAAAATATTTAAATAGTGATTTTCCTCTTTTCACTGTTGCAGTTCGACCATGGCTGAACTCTCCTAAGTTAAGTGCAGGTATGGACACCACTGTATCTATTTAATTTTGTGTGCCATCCACGTGCAGGGGCCGTGCTACTATTCTCCGTGTTGTTCCAACTTTAGCCTACGCACTGCTGAAGCAAGCACCGTGGTTATCTATTCTTTTGCACGATGTTTTGCATGGAGACGGTTCTAGCAAAGCCTTCCTGCAAAACCCAAGAGTGAGTTGCTTGATTGACATCTGTTAGTGCCCGTGGTACAGGTATCATTTCTGCTAATTACACCACAGTAATCCCTAAGAGGACTGTGATGTCAAAACTCTGGTTTTTACAAGAGAATAAATGATAGGCAAAATCAAGCGAGGTGGAACTGAAAAGGATATGATCACTTGGTATCGACTGCGCTACCCGCAATGACAAAAAAGCGAGTGTTGCATAATTATCGTTTTGTTGCATCCTTCACCTAGCAACGAATGCAGGCAGGAACCTTGTCTTTTCAATTTTGTGACTTAGAACCCCCCATCCAGTAATGGAGCATCAGAAATCATGAAAGCCGGGGGCGCCTGCCTGGCTGAGTCACTGGAGCATGTGACTCTTGATCCTGGGGTCGTGAGTTTAAGCCCTGTGCTGGGTGTAGTGATGACTTAAAACAATGTAATGAAACATGATTAGGAGCTGATCTGGGGTCTCCCACCCTGAGAACATTTTCCAGGAAAAAAATCACTGCATTCTCCCCCCCCCTTTTTAAAAAGTTTATTATTTTGAGAGAGAGAGAGAGAGAGAGAGAGAGAGAGAGAATACCAAGCAGGCTCCAGGCTGTCAGTACAGAGCCCGATGCAGGGCTTGAATTCACGAACCATGAGACCATGACCTGAGCCGAAATCCAGAGCTGGACGCTCAACTGACTAAGCCACCCAGGGGTCCCCATGTTTCATTCTAACAAAGCTAAAATTCCTTAATGGTGAGAGCTTGTACCACAGAGTAAATCTCCCAAAGCTTACCTGGTGATTAATTCTTTTCTAGTCAAATCTAAAGAATAAGCAATGTTCCTTTAGATCAGAGATTTTACACAGTGCTTAAACTTTTGCTCTTGTATTTATTGGGTTTTAAAAAGTATATTTATTTGAGCAATCTATACCCAATGTGGGGCTTGAACTCCTGACCTCGAGATTGAGTGAGTCACAGGCTCTTCTGATTGAGCCAGCCAGGGGCCCCAATTTTTTTCTAAGACTGGAGATGTAAACAAAACAAAACAAAACAAAACAACAACAAAAAAAAAACCCTCAAATCTCACATATTTTTCCAGCAATCCTTGAGGGCTGTGGGTCTCTCCTGTTCAATGCAATATTTTGCTAATGAAAAGCAAACATCTAGAACAGGAGTCACCAATCTGCAGCCTGTGGGTCAAATACAGACTGCCACGTCTTTTTGTAAATAAAGTTTTACTGAAACACAGATGTTTCCATCTAAGCTGTAGCTGCTTTCCTGCAAAGACAGGGTTGCATGCATGTGGCAGAGACCGAAAATACTTATTATCTGGCCTTTCACAGAAGAAGTTTGCCCATCCCTGATCTAGCATTCACTTCTATCACCTATACTGTTCATCATTTAGAATGTCATCTGCTCCATTTGGCAAACCCCTCACATCTTGAAATAGTGGCCCAGTTTATTTTTCAGACTGTTTCTGGGTTTTCCTTTCCCAAGGTGAATTTTTC